AAAATCTGACTGCAACATCGTTTTTCACTCATTAATATAAGTAATTTTCAAGAAAAAAAATCAAAAGAATCGTAAAAGACGTGATAAACGCAGCGTTGCGTTCACGCGTAAAAAACGCAAAATTGCCAACTTCTAAAGCCCATAACTTCGAAACTAAGTTTGACTGAAAAATTCTGATTGCACCATCATTCTTAAAAAGTTAATATAAGTATGTTCCAAAATAAAAAATCGAAAAATTTTGAGGGGGGTGATTAAGTGCAGTTTAGCCCAAACAGYATAWTAATATAATATACACAAAAGTTATTACTTATATATTATAGGTATATGTATAATAGGTATTTATTAATTTATTATTGTTTTCACACTATTAATAAAATTACTCATAAACTGGTAACGACAAGGACAATGTAGGAATTGAATTACGGTTCAATAACTTTGTACCATAACTATGACATTTTTCTTTAAAATGAAGATCACACACAAGGTATGTATTGTAAATTTGGTAATACGACATTTTAAGCAACTTTGGATTACCAAATTTTTCGATCCATAAAATAAAACGTGGTACATCATTCTTTGGAAACCGATGTTTTGAAATGCCGAATCGACTTTTACAACCATGAACGACACAATTCGGAGAAGGCATAACTAATTATAACTGATATAGAGTATAGACAATGACAACTACAAATTTAAATTAGAAAATATTACATTTGTAATCTTATTACAGAGTTTTATTATTTTTCAGATTCAGCAGTTTTCATAGAAAACTAATAAAATTATTATTCTTGGTTATTCCATAGAATCATGGTATATGATTAGATTCATTTTTAAAATTAACMTGAGTAGGTACCAACGTAATTAGCACCTAACGTTCGTATGTTGGCACTACTTTTGTCTACCTAGACAACAACTTGCTGTTAACTCGTATATACGAACTGCCGCCTATGGCTGTACTGCAGCATTGCTGTGCACGACTGTGCAGTGTAAAGTTTTTCAAATTTTAACTTCTATCTGAAATAATAATATATCAAGCAAGGTGGATCAATCCACCTTGATATCAAGGGATATTAATACCAGGTACCAGGAATAGGATCTTAGGATCACACCAAGTCACCGGTTGTTAGTTGTTACTAAGTAACCAGGTTAATGTATTCTTATCGGTATAATATAACCTCAAATAGTAATTGTTTACCTCGATTTTTCATTATTGTGTTTTGTAATTTTATCGAAAATATGAGGTATAGAGATAGGAGATTGACGAATGAGAATGACGGCCTATAATAAATTTTGTTAACAGTTCGTCGTTCGTCTTGTCTTCGTTTCGTACAAGGTACAACACTACAACAATTATACGTCTTGCCCATCCTTCAACGAGATAACGAAATAATTTTTACTGTGCAATGCTTATGAAATATTTCTAATTTATATTGTAAATAACAATACATTTTATTTTATATTCGATTCATCACCATAATTATTATTATAAGGAGTGAGGTTCTAAACTTCTAAGCTTTTATCGTCTGGATTGTCATTTATCGGGTAAACGTATCATTAAAGAACTGTTCGACGCCAAACCGTTTCGTCTGTATTGCGCAGGCCGCCTTCGCACCGTACCAGTGTACCACGGAAACCAACGGGGCGACTCCCCGAAATCAACTTCCAGTTCCAACATTTTATCGATCTTTGGACATCGCGTTTCTATTTTCACATTTGTGAAGTTGGCTGATAAAAGTGTCTACTAAACTCACAATAATATAGGTGTATAATATTATTTTGTTTTTATCAGTCAAATGCTGTTGTTATTATAGTCAGTATACTCTTCGTCTACGATTAAATCGATACACATGCAATTGAAATTTAAAAACGGATGCTGTGTATTTTACTGACGAACAGTAGATTATTTTTTATCATAAATCATCTGTTATTAACTCAATTGTAGGTATAAATGGCATCATTTAATCAAAGCGTGGATGAAAATAAACAGAATGGCAAGAGGAAATGGAATGATTCACATTTGGATATTGAAAGAAATTCTCAGGACGATGAGGACGACCACTCAAATACTGGTAAATTAAATATTGTGAATAATGGTTTAATTTTAAGAAGTTGATAATTCATTCAAAGAGGTTAGGTAATTTATTATGAGAGCTTGTGAAAAACAAATTATTTATTCTCTATTTCTGTAATACATATTCCACCTAATTAAAATAATTTAGTGAGAGTAAATATTATAAAACAGTTTAAGCATTAACAATTCCATAAAAATTATAACTAATAATTGGTAGGTTCCTACTTAGAATAAAAAAATAAAATTTATTTAAAAAAAAGGGTAACCGTTGTGTAGTTTCTTTTTGTCAGCCATATTAGACATGTAATCTTTACCAGACTGATCATACACTTTTAAAAATTAAAGTAATTTATATGTTGTGTATTTCAAATAAAAATGTAAAAAAAACATWCTACATTTTTTTTATTATTAATTATTGGACTGCATTTAAGAGTGATACTTTCAAATTCATGATTGATGAATGTTTTGTTATATACTTATATCAAGTTAATTAAATGAATACATAGTATATTTTCTTTCTTTAATAGTTATGCATGTGTTATGAATAAATCAATGGGGATTATTATTTATGTTTTTTCTATAAAAATTAGTACAAGTATCTTTTAAATATAGTAGGTATATTTACTAGTGGTGATAGGTTTGTAACTTGTAAAAATGTATCTTTGTTATTTAAACAAAACATTTATATGCCTATTAAGTATTTGTATAAGTGGTTATATGCCAAGTGGATTTAGAAAGATAGAACATTTTTTACTAATTAACTAATATTAGCTTTGCATTGGTAAGTAATGATAATTTTTTCCTAAATAGAATACAGATTGTAAGTGCACAAATGTCTTGTACTCAGTGGCAGCTTGAACTTTTTTTTTTATGAAGCGACTATTTTAAATTAGTACCTATCTACCAATTGTTCTCATTTTAATGTAAATTTCTTACCATAAATCACTCTTTAATATAAAATGTAATTCTTTTAAGAACATAAAATATTTGTAAATTTTAAACATATTAAATATTCTCCTCTACATTTACATGAATCAGCCGCTTTATAAAGTAGTTATTCTTGTCACCAYTGTTAGTATTTCAAAATTATTCAATCACATCTATGGTTTCAGATTTGATATTTTAATAATTATATTTCATATAAAYCTTTTAGTAATAAATTGGTATACTTTTATTATACACTAGAGCTTAAAATAAAGAAAACGTTTTGAGTTAAATCTCTGTATAATAAATATGAGAATTAAGAATACAATGTTAAACATTTCTTATGCTAAATAATTGCTCTCATAATTAATTTAAGTCAAACTTATTTTATCCCAAATATGGGTTAAGTTAAAAATGTCGTCTTGACTATTTTTTTTTTTAAATTTTATGATAAAGTACTTATAAATATGAAATTTTCAAATTGCATTATTGTGATGAGTAATTTAGTATTTTTTTTTATGTAATATTCATTAGTGTTAACTACATATCAGYATTTATAGTTCATTATTAAAWACTTATTACTTATATTCTTTACTAATTCAGGGATGTTAAAATAATCATGCATTCTAGATTAAAAATATATTTTTCTCTGTATTATCTTAAATAATTGCAATTTTATACAACTAACCAATTACATTAAACCATATAAAAAAAAATTAAATTATGTTATCGATAATTTTATTTTGTTTATCATTTAATAAGTATAGTATTTCTGAATTGTATCTTTATTATAATTCATTATAGTTAGTGAATCTCACTATGGGACTATTGTTTTTTTTTTTTTTTATTTAATTAATTGGTATATCTTTAAAGGAACATTTCACATTTTATCTCTATGTTTTATGAGTTAAAAATTTACAAAACAAATTTGATTTATATTTTTTTTTAATCCAAAAAATCGTTCAACTTCAAATTGTTATTGTTTGAAAAAAAGGCAACAGCCAAAGTTTTTTATGTTTCTTCAAAAAAATAAATAAAAATAACGTTGTTTGGTAACTAAATCACAGTTTACAAATGTTGTCAAGTTTTATGTGTTTAAATTTAAATTTTATAATCTCTTTTAAATTAATGTTTAAAGATTCATGTTGGTTGCTTTTTTTTATTAAATTAAAATGGTTTATTTTCTTTCAATATTTTATTAAATTATGATGTTAGAATTATAAATTTGCAAGGAAAATAATATTAATAATATATAAATTTAAAAATTAAAAATTTAGTATTTTATTTAATCAATTTATAGAGATTATTATAAATATGATTACGTCAAATAACAATGTTTAAGAGTAATAGAAATTKTAATACCTACACTGAATGTCAAAGACAACATTTGAAATTAAAGTTGGAATTAAGTTAATAGTTAAATGTATAACATTATTATGTTGTTAGGCATGCAACATAACAATAGTAATTAAATTTTGTTTATTTAAATAACATAAATACTTAAATAATTTATCACTATTTAATATTTTCTTATTGACTTATGAATTATGATATATTTGGAAATTACAATTTTATTATAACTATACATTTTCTTTAATTATTGCATACTTGAAATATATTTTTTTAATTATTTGCTGATTAGTGATTAACTAATAAAACTTTGCTATAATTATTTTTTTAATAAAAGGCAAATAAATAAAAAAAAAAAAATTAATAAACAACTATTATATTGCTCAATTATTTCTTCGAATTTATTTCATTGCCATATAAATGTTTTTTCGGGTTCATCAAATATTCAAATTAGTTGCATAATTACCTACATTAAAATTGATTATTATCAATAATTATATATTTTATTTGTATATATTTATTAGATTGTGTTAATTAGGAATTTAAAACCAATAATAAATTGTAATTTAAATATTTTTATCAGATATGTTGTATCAAAACTGAGAGTTAATATTCATATTTCTGCAATATGGTTTAAAAAGTGAGTTTTTAATTAAATAGTTGTAGCCTGTAGGTAGATCATTTAGTTGTTTATATTAATATACCTAAAAGAAAATTGTTACTATTTATTTAAAATAAAGTTTTAAAAATTAATGAACTATGTTTATATAAAATAAACAGTTTAAATAAAGCCAAATTCTCTTTCATTAAAAATTAATAAGTACTTATAGGCAATAGTTTAATTATAAATTGTTTTTATATTCTATGTTTAATTTGATTTAAAAATATATTACAATGATAAAAATAAAACACAATATAATGTTTACTTATAAAAAAAAAAAATTTAATACTAAATAATGAATATAGTTTATAAAGGTAATTTATTAATTTAGACACTGGTCTGTTATCACCTTACCATAGGCTGTATAAATTATATTACTATAAGTATTTACTACGTATTATTTAATAATATAATATATAATTTGTTAGTTAATCAAAATTATTAAATAATTTACACATTAATATCTTTATCTGAAACTGTGAACAACGATAATTCATTAAAACCATCCCTATGCAAAGAGAACGTTTTAGGTTATAATTTGGTGATCTGTATTTGCAGAACTCGTCAAATTATAGGAAAATTGTTGTTGTTCGTATATTTTTATGTTCTTATGATACATGGCTCGCTAGTTAGTGGGATGATAACTGATCATAAACTAAATTCATAATAAATTTATAAAATGTAGTCAGTTTTAATTTAAACCTTAGGTATAATTTAAATGTTAATTTTAAAAATAAATATATTAAAATAATTGGTTTTACATTTTTATACTAATTTTTTTTAATGTTAAAACTTTATTAATATTCAATAATTAATTAAACAATTTTTACAATTATGCTAATTAAAAATGTAAAGCTTTTTATAAATTGTAATTTTGATTCATTATTCATTATCACATAGGCTTAGTAATTATATTTTACTTGGCCATTAACAAAAGTTTTGGTGGTTCCATACAGAGATGGAGCAAGGTTACCAGGAACTCTGCAAAACTCAACCAACCATTCTTGTTGAAGATTTCGAGCCAATGAAGCCACTTGAAGAAGAAGAATTAATGGAAGCATCTTTAACTACTGACCGTAAACAAGTTATTGTTGGCATATGTGCCATGAAAAAAAAAAGTTTTTCTAAACCAATGAAAGAAATTCTCAACAGGCTAGCTGAGTTTGAATATTTAAAAATGATAGTTTTTGAAGAAGAATTATTGTTGAAACCTATTGAAGAATGGCCCATTTGTGATTGCTTGATATCTTTTCATTCTAAAGGATTTCCTCTTGAAAAAGCTATTAGATATGCTGAGCTTAGGAATCCATTGGTAATTAATCATTTGCCAACTCAGTTTGCCCTCCAAGATAGAAGGCAGGTTTATTCAATTTTGGAATCTGAAGGAATTTTAATTCCTAGGTATGCAGTTTTAGATAGAGAGTCTCAGGATCCAAATTTACACGAATTAGTAGAGTCTGAAGATCATGTGGAAATTAATGGTGTTGTATTTAATAAACCATTTGTTGAAAAACCAGTTTCTGCTGAAGATCATAATATCTATATTTATTATCCTACTTCAGCAGGAGGTGGAAGTCAAAGACTTTTTCGTAAAATCGGTAGTCGGAGTAGTGTTTATTCTCCAGAATCTAGAGTTAGGAAAACTGGTTCTTTTATATATGAAGATTTTATGCCAACTGACGGAACTGATGTGAAAGTATATACTGTTGGCCCAGATTATGCTCACGCGGAAGCACGGAAGTCACCTGCATTGGACGGTAAAGTTGAACGTGATTCTGAAGGTAAGGAGATACGATATCCTATTATCCTCAGTAATTCTGAAAAAATGATTTCTCGTAAAGTATGTTTAGCATTTAAGCAGACCGTTTGTGGTTTTGATTTACTACGAGCAAATGGTAAATCTTTTGTTTGTGATGTGAATGGATTTAGTTTTGTTAAAAATTCAAATAAATACTATGACGATTGTGCCAAAATATTAGGAAACATGATACTTAGAGAGTTGGCACCTACACTTCACATACCTTGGTCCGTTCCTTTTCAATTAGATGACCCTCCAATTGTTCCTACTACTGTTGGGAAAATGATGGAATTACGGTGTGTTGTGGCTGTTATAAGACATGGAGATCGTACTCCTAAACAAAAAATGAAAGTTGAAGTTAGACATTCCAAATTTTTTGATGTGTTCGAAAGGTATGGGGGYAAAATGAAAGGAGAAGTTAAATTAAAACATCCTAAGCAGCTTCAAGAAGTATTAGATATTGCCAGAGCATTGTTAGATGAAATTGAGCATCACGAAGCTGATCAAGAGCTTGAAGAAAAAAAAAGAAAACTTGAACAACTAAAAAGTGTTTTAGAAATGTATGGTCATTTTTCAGGAATAAACCGCAAAGTTCAAATGAAATATCAACCTCATGGAAGACCTAGAAAAGAACAAAGCATAAATTTTAAACAAGACCCATCACTTGTTTTAATACTTAAATGGGGAGGTGAATTAACWCCTGCAGGAAGAGTTCAAGCTGAAAAATTAGGACAAATTTTCAGATGCATGTATCCTGGAGGCCAGGGTAGAAATTCAGATACTCAAGGATTAGGGCTACTTAGATTACATTCTACATTTCGCCATGATTTAAAAATTTATGCAAGTGATGAAGGCAGAGTGCAAATGACAGCTGCTGCATTTGCAAAAGGATTATTGGCTCTTGAAGGAGAATTAACACCAATTCTTGTACAAATGGTTAAAAGTGCCAATACAAATGGCTTGTTAGATAATGATCGCGATTCTAGTGAACAACAAAATATGACAAAAGAACAGTTACACAAATTAATGCAGAATGACCATATATTTACTCCTGAAGATCGTGCAATGATCAACCCTTGTAGAGCTATTAGTATAGATGAAGCATTAGATTATGTAAAAAATCCTGTTCAGTGTTGTGAAATAGTACAAGAACTAATACAGAAATTAGTTGCTGTTGTAGAATCCAAAAAAGATGATCCCAAAAAAGCAGATACTGTATTATACCATGGTGAAACATGGGAACTTATGGGACAACGATGGTCAAAAATTGAAAAAGATTTTTATACTAAAAATAAAAAATTTGACATATCCAAAATCCCTGATATATATGATTGTATAAAATATGATTTACAKCACAATCAACGAACCTTACAGTTTGAAGAAGCTGAAGAATTATATACGTATGCCAAATATTTGGCTGATATAGTTATTCCTCAAGAATATGGGTTAGATATAGATGAAAAGGTTACTATAAGTCAAGGAATTTGTACTCCTTTATTAAGAAAACTTAAATCTGACTTGCAACGAAATGTTGAAGAGCCATGCGAAGAAGCAGATGAAACTGTAAATCGCTTAAATCCTACATATTCTTATGGTGTATTAAGTCCTAGAAGACATGTTAGATCTCGTTTATATTTTACTAGTGAAAGCCATATCCATTCTCTTTTATCTATTTTGAGATTTGGTGGCCTATTAGATGTGAACAATGACGAACAATGGGGTCGAGCTATGGAATATGTCAGTATTGTTTCAGAACTTAACTATATGACACAAATAGTTATWATGTTGTATGAAGATCCTACCAAAGATGTAAAATCTGATGAAAGATTCCATGTAGAACTACATTTCAGTCCTGGTGTTAATTGTTGTGTTAGAAAAAATTTACCGCCAGGTCCTGGTTTTCGACCACAAACCGGTAGTAATTTCAAAACAAAACATAAAGATTACGAAGAGGATGATTCATTAGACGAAGATGAAGGGCATAGTAGATTTTCTGTAACAGAACCGCAAATTGAAGAAGAAGAAGAAGATCATAGCCGTTTTTCAATCACTGAAGATGATAAAAAAGAATCATCAGAGCCACCTTTATTTTCTGAGGATGACACTTGTGATGGACCACTGAAATTCAAATTTTGTCAGCCTCAAAATGCTACAGCCAAGAGACATTGTTATTTTTCTCATTTGTTCTCTGCATCTCCGCCAACCAGTAGTTTGTTTAGTACTGCTGTAATTAGTGGCTCGTCTAGCACTTCAGATTTACATGATTTGATGACTGGTCCTTCAAGCTATGCTGGTTCAATAATTGGTTGTGATGGAGTTCCGCCAATACGACCTTTAGAAACGTTACACAATGCATTGTCACTAAATCAAGTTATAACTTTCTTTGACAAAGTTATTAATAACCAAGAACCAAGTTCACCAGAAATTTGGCCATAATGTATTAATCATTATATTATAAATACCAATATTAAACAGTATGATTTAATTGATTATAATTATTAAAAATCTATCAATTAATGATATACCTTCGTTTTTAAAATTATTATATTCATAATGCTTAAACAAAGTATTAACTAAATTATAGTAACTATTTATTACTTTTTATAAAATAAGTGTTTAAAAAAAATTATGAATGTATTAGGTACAGTAGATAATTTATATAATTTATAAATCAATATTTATATTCCTATAATATTATTCTAATACGTCAACGGTTCTCAAGTTGTTTTTTTTTTATTGAAGTCTTTTTTGAATTTAATACAACATTGTAAGATTTTAATCATTTAAATAATTATTATGAGTAAATATTTTATCAATTTTTTCATTTAAGAAAGTAACATAATATTATGTATTAGTTTAAATTAAAGTGTAAGAAACATTTTCTTAGGGTTTCCAAAAAATAAATACTTATTTTAATAAGAAATGTAAAACTGAAATGTTTGGTTAAAGTAATTAAAAAGAGTTTACGTTTCATTAGAAAAAAAATCACAGCTTCCATAAAATATACTTGAGAACCTCTGTAGTAAAGAATAGAATATATATTATATTTGTGATTTGATGTTTACAGTTTTAAAGTCTAAGTTAATGTAAATTTAATTAATGTAAGTACCTGAATTTGTAAATATTTTATGTTGTTGAATATTTTTGTGGACCAAAAATACATATTTAATTTATTAACTAAATTTTACAATTTTTATTGTTTCTGTCTGGTTGTTGTACAACTTCAGAAATACTGGCAAAGCTTTTCCCATCTTAAATAGTTAAATAATATATACAATTATTGACAATAGTAGTTATTATTTATAATTATTTTGTTCTCAGAATTAAAAACTAATATAGGTATTATATTTAAATGAAATAACTTTAAAAACACTATCAGCCAYTTTGGTTTAGAAAGATATTTGCTGTAAACTGGCTTTGACAATTTAGAATTAAGAAATATTATTCCATTATTCATCCTTTAAACTATATTTAAATGTTGATAAATTGACTTTTTATTAATTTCTTTTCTATTCTATTACAGTTCTAATAAATCTTGTTGTCATGCTGAAATGATCTTTTAGTCATCTTAATTATTTTTAAATTAATGACAACAAGTATTGTTTATAACAACTATTTAAAAGCAAAATACTTAGTTATGTACGTGGATCAAAGCTATTTTTAAATTAGTATTGTTTAACATTTATAATATTAATGCAATAGAAAGAGTTCAATAACTGTGGTTATTATAACATAAACCTATGGTTAAATTGTTAAGATATATTCTTTGTTTGCCGAGAGAATGTGGTTACTGAGTGCTTATATGACTGTGACATGGGAATTTGTGTTATTGCAGTGGGGTATGATGCGTTATGGTATTCCCTAGATAAACAGTAGGTGAAGTACATATTATATGAAGATTAAAAATAAATCTGAGATTATTAAAAGTTCAATGATTCAAATTTTAAATTTAGTACTTATTTAACATTAATTCTTCATATTTTTAAGTATAATGTAATGTGTTTTTAATTCTAATGAAATGTATAATTAATAAAAAATAATTAATTTTATAAAAAAACTGATAGTGTGAGGTTTTATCTATAAAAACTGTTATTTCCACTATAAATGATAATTATAACAGTTTTCAGTGTGCAGTAATATCTCGTATTTTAAGCTGTTAAAATTACACATAAAAACTATGATTTATTTGATTCTTACAAGGTATGAACAAAATTACTTTTCATGAAATTTAACGGTTTTTGTGTTACTCTTATGAAATATTATTTTTCGAACATATATTTATAGTTTACAAAAACTCACATCAAAAGATTAGCGAAGAAGTGGAAAACATTTCTATTTATGGTGACTGCCTAAGAAATTATTATTTTTCTAGTTAAAACTTAAAAAACGACAATGTAATAAATACTAAATCAGTAATAATAGGTATTCCATTTAAGTATAATATATATGCATATTTTACATAATATATGACCCGGGTGGATGAATATTTAAAAGAAAATAACGTGACAAGCAGTATAACCTTTTCTGTCGTAATTAGTTTTGTTTCATGTTTTATTTTTTATTTTATTTTTTTAACTTATGTTACACAAAATGTATATATAAATAAATATGACACGTAAATAGTTAACGAAAACTGTGAAGTCCCAAGTATAATACTTAAAAGTCCCTTGTAATAAGTTATTAAATAGTATTATCAAATCTGTCCGTCTTCCTAATTGATAAAGTCGATTCYGTCTAGTTTTTCGATTAAAATAATACTCTAGKTTTTAGACCTATTCGATATTTTAGCTAAGATATAGTGTCAAATTTAAAATACCTATTTACATGTCAGCAAAATATGCAAAATTATCTAAAGTATATTTATTATAACCAGATTACTAGTCTGATGATATATAATATATATAAATAACTTGATATCCCATGCCATATGTTTGGTGCACTTAATGATAAATGTGTATAATGTGTATAAATGCGCATTTATAATAACAAATTATAAAAATAACAACAAATTTGCTTTGATCGCGAATTTTTATTTGATTATAGTCTTATATTTAGACTAGTTGTGTATATATATATATATATATGGAAAAAAATAAACAAACGCAACACACGGAGCTTTATCCGTGTATTTTGGTATTGAGCACGTCGCTTTCTAAACTAATAACTTGATCGAGATGGGCAATATGCCTGTGGGGAAATAGATATAGCACTTAGTATATTTTCGAATGTGGTTCAAACTACTCTCTAAACTTTCCTGATATCTATAGTAATAATCCCTGAAACTTTCGTCATTWTAGGTCGATTTATTTTGTTGAATCAATAGCTTTATTGCATCTTGTGCAATTGTATGAGATATTATACTTTTAATATTATTTTGCTTTTATGAAATGTATTCTTTTATTTTTWTACAAAAAATCTCATAAAGCAATGCAAAGGCTGGGTTGGCCAGTTAATACCAATTTTTGTTAACATCTGAATTTCTGTAGCCAATGCAACTCTATTTAATATAAACGAAAAAAATATTTGATTTTTATGAGCCAAAACAAAAGAATAATATTAAAACAACATCTTAGTCTCAATTTATTATATYGATATACATTTTATTAAAATCGGTTCAGTAGTTTTTGAAATTAGTGCATTCAAACATRCAAACTCTTAAACTTTATAATATTATTATAAAGAGTTAAGGTTGTTTCATAAAAATATTTTTCATTCTTATTTATTCTATGAAATCTATGCTCATAAACTCTAAGTCAAACTTGAAACGTAATAAAATATAATCAATTYGTTTACTTTTGCATTGATAACAATATTTGTTAGTGCATAGTATTTTGACTTATTGTACCTACTATAATAAAGTTGTATCAATAATTAAGTAGCTACTGAAGTTTGGCAATTTATGAAATTGTATTAACTTAGCTTATGAGTAATATAAAGTTACATCAATGTATACTTACTATATAACTTAATTTAATATGTATATATTATATGTTAGGTTCAACATGTCTTTTAAAATCATTACCTAATCTGCAACTTTATTAAGTAGCTATTGTCTGCTTAAACTTGAAACGAATTAAAAWTTTTTATATTTTTTATACATTTATTACGTAGACTGTAGAGCGTAGTTAATCTGCAGGTTATTGATAAAATATCGAAAATAATAATGGAATGCAAATGATTAACGAAAAAAAAAAATAACCGTTGTTATAAAATCATTGGTTTTCTATCTACTCGTTGTAATTGTTTATCAGAATATTATTTGAAATGTAATTTTTTCTTTTTTGAACCAATTGGCAAGCAGAAATTAACGAATACGTGTTTTTTATTTTAATATCTTTATGTATATATAAACCTCAAATATAAATTATTTCTTTAATATATAAAAACTAATAGTTGTTACCTAAGATTCAATTTCGCACTTATATAAATAATAGCTTAATTAGCCTAAATGACAAAATATATAATACGATACAGAAAAATGTTTCAAAATATCCAATCATTATAACAATTTAATTATCTTTAGCCATATTGTAAAACAAAAAATATTAAGGTTGAAAAAAGAAGGTAAAGCCATCTCCAAGTCTCGAGAAATCTATTGACATAACTTTTACTCATTTACTCAATCTGTTAGTCGGTCAATAGTTATACTACCACAACAGGTGCCCAGAAAAATAATATTTTTAAAGATATTTCGCTATGACGTGATCATAAATAACTGTTATGTATTGAATTCGAYGAAGAAAAAAACAAACTGATTGTGTGAATATTGTAATCACTTGTGTTTCGTTTAATCGTATCAAAAATACCTGCTAGGTCTAATATTTTACAAGAAACCACCCTCATAGTTGAAGAACGAAAAATGTCTTCTACTCTAAAAGGTAATGACATTGACATACTCACACACACACACAAAGACATTGGAAATCCGATACATTCATCGCTTTGTACAGAATATAAAATATAAATGTTGATAATAACATCTGTTTATTTTTTGTTCAACATACGCTGAAGTGAGGGGGAGAGGGTGTTATGATCTATTTGACGAAAATTAGAAAAAATATAATAACTGCTTTGTTTTTGTTGTAGACAAATGGACGAAAAAAGTGCACCGCCTGTGTCCGTATTTAGACACRATCAACCGACAGGTGTTGGACTTTGATTTCGAAAAATTGTGTTCTGTGTCGCTGTCACGGATCAACGTGTACGCGTGTCTAGTATGCGGTAAATATTTTCAAGGTAACGTATCGACATATTGTTTTGCGTTCTAAATGAATAACGTGGCCGCTTGTACTAATATATTATGTTTATATTTTCCATGGACCCGTTCCAATCGACGACGATCTTTTTTGGATGTTTATCACCGTCTTGTTTTTGATTGATTGTCATTGCAGGTCGTGGCACCAACACTCACGCCTACACTCATAGCGTTGCCGAGAGCCACCACGTTTTTTTGAACCTGCAAACCCTTAAGTTCTACTGCCTGC